CATAGTGAAATGAGTCCCACATGCTAAAGAACAGTGTCATGTAACTGCTTATGCTACGTTTGGGATTCCATTAACCAAAAACAATAGATATAAAATTCATCTGGGTGGCCTGGCATATTTGCTATTAGAAGCTGTAACAGCCCTAGCTGATAAATAAGATCTGCAGTTTAAGAACACATGTTCCGTCCATCCCCCCCCCCCCCCCGATTTGCACAGGCAAAGTTCTGACTAAATGAATTGATGAATAAATTCTGAATAAATGAATTGAATGAATTATTTTATTTGTATAGCACATATGCCATAACAAATTAAATTAGAGAATCATTAAATGAATAAGATAAACCATAAAGAAAATAACAAGTATTCCTTTTTTTTTTTTAAACTCAACAACAAGCACAACACACACTTTCTCATGGCCTAAGTTACAGAAGCCAGCATGGACAAATTTCTGACGACACTTGGCTGCAGACCAGATCAAACTGGCTAAAGCCTTTACTATTTTTCCTTTGATTAACGACAACAGGAAATTGAGTTGTAATAAAGAAGCCAGTGAATTTTGCTCTGCAAGAGAGAGAGTAGAATTTTTTCCCCATGTTCTGCAGAAATTAAGCAGTGGAACAAAGAATAAGTGAAGTCCTTTATCATGTTTGCTCTGTATGGACAAAAAGCAGATGATATACATACTGAGGGAAGAAACAACCCTTTAATCCTTGGGTATGAAAAAGTTCTGAGGTGGAAAGAATTGGAATGATTTTTCAGCAGATGCCTGTTGGGAACACAATGGTGGCAGATCTCCTATCTGAATGTTTTAATACCCAGAACTTAGCAAGATGAGATAAATTATTCCAGGATAACTGGCTAATGACAATCAGTAATGAAAATGGAAAATTCACACCCAATTTCTCCCTTGATTAATACTTCAGAAGTATGCAAATACAGCACAGTTAAAGTCTGCAAATTTTTATGTTTCAAAGAAATGATTAGCTTTAGTGCCATCTAGTGGTCACAAATGTATATTAAAATGCATATTTATCTGCTTTTATACTAATGTTTTGTAATGCATATAGTAATTGGATAACATATTTGTATTAGAAATTCAGGTGTTTGAAAATGTGAATAGACTCCAATAAGTCTCTGGCATTTTAGACACAATAAAAACTGCTGTTCAAAGCCAAAGCAGTTATAGAGTGCTAGCTATTACAGATAATATTTCTTGAACATAGATTAATAGGCTTGCCTATTGAATGAAATCAGATGATAATAATATTAACTGATCATGCTTCAGAAATAGCAGCAATTAGAAAGTACTACAAAATATTTTATATATGATAACTGCAGCTAGACTTTTATATGCTCAAAGGTGGAAAGATTCGATATTACCTACAATGGGACGCTAACGTTGATGGAGTTAGTGGAGATGGTGAAATTGATAGCTTTGATTAGAGAAAAAACACTGACTAACTTTAATACTTTTGGGGGGAAACAGAAAAAAATGAAATTATGATATATGGATTTGATGGTTAGTAAAATTAGAAGACTATGGGAAAATGTATGTTAAGATGTAGTTTTAGAGTAAGAGGTTGTTTTGTTTCATTTACATCTGCTGTATAAGAAGTCATTCTTTTTGTATTTGTTTTTCTCCTTTTTCTATTTTTCAGCACCTGTTTTTTTCTTTACATCTAGCTTTCTTTCTTTCCATCCTTTTTCTTGATTATTAGTTTGTGTTAGTTTTTATCCTTCTGCTTTTTAAAACTTAATAAAAGCTTATATATATATAAAACTACAAAATGGAAGCAAGGGAGGAGCTGTAGCTCAAGGAGGGAATGGAGGGTTTGTGTGTCCAGTTTCTGACATCTCTAGCTTAAAAGAATACAGAGGGCAGAGTTAAGAGAGCCTTCTGCCAATGTGCCAGGGGCAGTCAGAACAGAAGTGATTTGGAATAACACAGTGCCATATTTTTAATAACTATTTTCACAAACTCATGACACAGCATGAACAGCTATATGGCTACCTTGCCAATATTCACCATGGAGGACCACCACACAACATAAAACTTGATATTTGGTTTAATTACATCAATACTGAAATCAAGTATTTTTGTAAGATAGGGCTATCAGATCTGTTCTGGAAAAATTCAGATAACCATCAGAGGATAGCAAAGACTTTGAATTTTCTGTGTCTCTTTAATGCCATCTAGTGGTCAACTGGATACTATAAGCCCAGATCTGGCAGACCTTCATAAAAAAGGAAGCCCTCTAATCTTCAGGTTTTTTTTTGGATTGCAGCTTCTCCCCAGCAGGATGAAGACATTCCTCCTCCGCTGCCAGAGAGAACCCCTGAATCCTTTATTATTCTTGGAGAAGACAATGAGCTCCAGCAGCTGGGTAAACGCAGCACAGGGCACTTTGGGCAAGATACAGCTATTTTCTATTGCCTGGAAACTTCTGCTATCTAGAAAGTTTTTTAAAAATCAGTCAATTTTTATTTCTAGTTTTTATCATTTACAGATAAGCCTTTGTTAGCAGCTTCAGATCACCAACTATCATCTAAAAACGACAAAATAAAAATCTCTACGGAATGGAACAGCATGTCTCAGCTGAAACATTTTGATGACTCAGTGAGACTGAGACCAAGTAAGGTAACTGGCTTAAACATATTCTGGAGTACTTTTCTACCAAACGCCTGACTTCTGAAGAATAAAGGCTACCACTTTGATGAACTAGATTACTATAGATATTGCATCTACATTCCAGTGGTTGAGACTAAGAGCAGGTTATATTCACTTTGTGAAGCAAGGGGTAGCAGGAATCTAGACATGGCAAGCAGTTTCCAGTAATTATTCTAGCAGCTGCTGTTTCATATTCGTCTTTCCCAAATGGTCTGAGACCTGGACTCCTGGAACTGGAATTCAGGAAGACGTTTGAAGGGGGTGACTTTTTACCATTACCAGACTGAATTTCAATTAATGTGGTTGTGTGGGATGTTCCTGCTCTTATCTACCAGCCAACCTGCTCATGTGTAAGGTGTTGTATTGGGGAACACAAATTACTCACTAAAAATTAAATACAGTCATGCTAAGATGAGGAAAGATTAAACATTGTCTCTCTCTGTTCATTTCTAGAGTGGAAAGCTACAGAGGCCTAGATCAGGTATCTTTTCTCCTATTTTTTTTTTTATTAATTAGTCTGTACAACTAATGATGCTTGCTTTATGATGACTGAAACTAGGCCTTAGCACATCACATTTTTACATAGGCTACTCTTTATAACAATGTGTTACTTTATTATAAAATATATTGTGAAGGTTTTTTTGTACAGGTTACTACACAATACGCTAATCAAGTACCTATATTGTTAGTTTCTGGTGTAAAACAATATCTTGGGGGATATTGGCCTGGGGGCCTGATGGGGGTTCACATTGTTGGAATTGGCTGCTGGGGTAATCGATTCTGCCCCACCCACCGTCATCTTGAATTGTATATAGTCTCTTTATATAGTATTATTTTTTAGCTAATTTAATATGGATATTTATATTTTTACTGTTTTTACTGTTTGATTTTAATTGTGAGCCACCCAGAGTCACCCTCTGGGGGAGATGGGCAGCATATACGTAAAATAAATAAATAAATAAATATTTCATTGCACTAAGCCATGCTGTGGCTTTGCAGAAAGTGTGACTCCAGCCATGACATATATAGGACTTTTAAATGCATAATGGACATCTTGTGAACCATTGCAGAGCTTTAGGATTGTTAAAAGTGAACTAATTTAAATGTGTTTTTTCCCCAAACTTGTATCATCACAGAATTTCATTGGAGTCGATCTTCATCACCCCCTACTCCCCCACTTCCAGAGAGAACTCCTGAATCATTTTTTCTTGCAGATGAGGACTGTAAGTCCCACAGATTTTGTCATCTTGTAATGTTTTAGATAGTGCTTTTATTTAAACATCCTCATCTTAGAAGAAAGGGGAAATTAAAGCAATTTTAAGAAGATCTAGTTGATAGAAAGAGGTCAGTTGGTAGAAGGAATTTACAACTATGGAAAATAAAGACAACTGAGCATCTGTATATAAAAATGATACTCAGCTCCAGTTCTTGCTAGCTATTCTTTACATTGTGTTCTTGTGATATTATGAGACAAAGTAATGCATATATAAAGCTTTTAGGATTTTTCAGAAGTGTTGGACTGTAGCCCCCTCCCTTATTTCCAGAGTCTCTTTCCTTAACTAAATTTGTTCCCTTGTTTGCTTAAAAAAGTTAGTTGACCTCCATCTTTCTTCATTCCCTTGTAAAATATATGCTGAGTCCAAAGCCTGATAACATACAGAGTGTGATTTTAGCTATAAAATTTAAGTTATTTTTAAATATTGGAATTGATTTATGAGCGAACTTGTTTTACTCTTCCAACGATGCCATCCACATACAAGATCACATACAGAAACTTCAGTGTGAATCTAGCAATATAGGTAGTCAATTTGGAGCTATTTTTATACTTGTGGCAAAGCTCCTGCTATGGTACATATTAGATTACAGCTCAGTAGACAGATTTACATTTATTTCTTAGAGTGCTTTTGAGCCAATCCTACTTTTTTATACATCTGTTAATGCCTGTGCTGGGAGATGGATTTACATTTTTGCATTTATATCACCAACAAATTGGCTGTATTCCTGTACGTTTAGGTCCTACAGGATTTTTTGTCAATCATATTGGATTAATAATGCTTTGTTCACACATACTTTTTCAATATACAGAGAGTTTTTCTAGTGTGTCTTTTCTTGACACTGTTTTCTTTTTATAGCTTGTTCATCTGTTACAAACATTGTAGTGAACCCTGGAGACCTTCAGATTAAATCAACAAATGTACCAACAAAGGAGACAAAAGGCTTCAGAAGGAGCAAGGTAAAGTCACATGGAAAACAAGGAAGTGGGGTTGGTGACACACATCATTAAATTAGAAACAGAAAAGCAAGTTTCTTTACCACCCCTCAGACACATGTGAATCATAGAAATTTCAATTGCGCAGAAGACCAGATGTCTTTACACAATGCAACACTTCTTTTGGTTAGAGAAACAGCATTCATCCAAAATTTAAACAAGTGTTTTTTCTTCCTGGATTTATTTTGTGATCACAATTATTGGATTGGATATGATTGCAAAGTAAGTCCTGAAAACATTTATAGGTTAATAACTACAATAATATCACCTATGGTGAATGACAGTCCCCCTTAATATCCTCATGTGGTTGCATATCCTGCCTTATAGAAAACAATCCTCCACTGAAAGGGTGACCATAGTTACAATATCTAGCAATTTCCATTTTATGCATAACTTAGTATATGCCAATTTTGTATGAATTGCTTCACCTCCTTTTATATTTCCTTTTTTTTTTGGTATGCATGCATGAGCGTCCAAAATAACTAACCAACACCCTCTGTTTCTTGCCCATCCCTCTTCTGTAACGGAGCAACCCCATGTAGAGCATTTTACAGTAATTTATCCAAGAGGCTCTACTCTCTGTCACTCACACCCTGGTCACCTCCCAGATGGATTACTGCAATGCGCTCTACATGGGGCTGCCCTTGAAGAGCATCCAGAAGCTACAGCTGGTGGAGAATGGGGTGGCATGGGCAGTTATGTGCCCTCCAAGATCAGTGCATATTACACATCTGCTCTGCGAGCTGCACTGGTTGCCAGTTTGCTTCTGGGTTCAAGTCAAGGTGCTGGTTATGACCTATAAAGCCCTACATGGCATGGGGCTGGGTTTATTGAGGGACCGCCTCTCTGCTGTTACATCTACTTGTCCCATCAGTTCTGGCAGAAGGGGCATGTTGCGAGTCCTGTCATGAGGGAGTTCCATCTCATGGGACCCAGGAGGAGAGCCTTTTCTGCCATGGCCTTATCAAGTTCTTAGCCCCAGAACCTAACCCATCTTCTTAAACCAAATCTGCTACAACGACAAAAGGAGGAAGGCACAGGCTATATTATTTGCTTCTCTGTATTGCCCCAAGTGAAGGGTCTGCCAGAGGTGTTATCATGTCCCTTCTCTCTGGCCACTGGCTAACATTCATATCATCATTTCTCTTTCCGTATTTGCAGTCTCTGTTAGAAACCTAGTCCCAAGCCTTAATGATCTTCAGTAATTAGTGCTTTCTTAACACCAACACTTTGTCTTTTTTTTTACAGAGTTTGAAAATTTTACGAAATGTGAAAAACAGTAAGTATCTTGAAGAAAGAGACTATTAACAGTGTACATATATCCCAACAACAAGTACGGAGCATAGTGTATACTTTACTGGATTAATAAAAACCTACTATCATACTCCCACTGTATTTCAATGAGAGACAAAATAACTCAACGGGTTTCAGAAGCAGTGATTAATCTATTGGATGAAAGGCTTAAAATGTAAATTATTAACATGTAATATGCTTTGGTTTCTCATTCCATTTTAGATATATATAAAGTAGCCAGCAATGAAATCTCAGTGTAAATTTCCCATCCACCTGTCAATAGACTTGACAACACTTACAGTATGAATTGGGGCCATTATGATAAACACCTACATACACATTCTAACTGATAGATCCTTTAGACTTATTTAAGGTCTAAAGCAGCTTTAGCATTAAATAGTTTATTTAAGAGTGCTGATTCTGAAGCTTTGCTCTATGCATTTGATGATGCAGGCTTCTGCCTACATTTCCTCCCACAAACCCACAATTAACTTCTAAGGTGCTCTTTATATTCCTGCTGCCATGGACTAACAACATTACTGTCCTGGAGATGTTGCTGATTGATTGCTGCTGCAATGAGACTTAAGCAAAAATCAATGCAGTACAGTCTGGCAAAGGGAAAGATGACCACCCTGGGCAGCTTGGCCTGGGAGGAAAAAGAAGTCCTAGAAGGTGACAAGGGGATTAATGAAATAGAGGGAGGGAGGGAGGGAGGGAGGGAAGGAAGGAAGGAAGGAAGGAAGGAAGGAAGAGTACCAAAATCACTAGATTGCTAAAAGTCTGTCAGAAGCTTCTGGGATCAGTGGGCAATTGCTTCAGATGAAACACTGAACAGCAGGTGAGAGTTTCACAAAGAATAACTTGCAACCAATTAAATGCTCTGCAGTCAGCCATTAGATCCTCCAGAAAGGAAGAAGTATAAAACAAAGTAGCTTTAACATTGCTTAAGCGACAAGGACTTCCTGGGTTCCATAGTTGTTCTATCACTGATTATTTGTTAATAAACTTTGGGCTGGGCACAGCCACATAATTAGATACTATAAAAGTATATAAAAACAAGCCATACCAAATAGGTTATAAAAAATATCCTCAAATACTGTCCCAATCAGTGGCAGCTGAAATGCTCTACAACACCTTGTCCCAGTTTGATGCTGTCTAACACATCTACATATAACCAGATTTGGGGAAACTTCCTATAGCTTGACTTTCTAGGTTTACTGGCAGGATTCTTAGTCTTCAAATTCTATATCAACTAATTCTGAGGTATTTATTAGAGGTTCTTCCAATTACATGGAAGAACTTTATCTATGAATCTTTAAAAGACTCACCCAGAACTCATGTGCCCTGCTTATGGGAAAGACTGGGTGACTTGATCCACCTTCTTCTGCCATGTAAACCTTTACATAGCTACACAGGCATGTGCTTATGAGATAAACAATTCTTAATGGATAAAAGAACATCTAAAGAGCTCCAGCACCAGTATTAGATTTCAATGGCTTGCAATACTGCATTCATAATGAGTGGTAAGATTAATGCTATGGATATTCTCCTTTTATCTTCCTTATTCCAATTTAAGCAAACAAGACTTCCCTTACAACAGAAATCACATTACAAGAAATCTGTATTTATCAGACTACTTAACTATGACTTGCTAAAGATATTTTTGTATTACTAGGTATTTGGAGCTCACCTTCACTAGTAAGACCTCCAGAGCACGATCAGTCAAATCATCACAGCTCTCTTCTGAGTCTTGGTATGCATTTTTAAAAATAAAGTATGCTTCAATATTCAATTTACTATGAAGGTAATCTACAGAATAATATTGAAGTTCAAAATTAGAATGCTATCTAGCCTAATGATTTCCTGCATTCTCTAAATTGTTACTACAACTTTCCAGTGGATAGTTTCTAATGCCATCATCAAAATTCCTCATCCTATTATATATAGGATCATATACCTATATGTAAACATTGCAAAGCATAGCCAGAATCCTTTTTACATTTATTAAATAAGATGTTGGTTTACATTCTCTCACTCTTATCTTAATTGGTGTCAACAGTTTTACTTCATGGCTCGAAAGTCTTACTCAAATTAACATAACATGTTAAAACTGAAACACCTAGGATTAAATTGAAATGGGAAAATACATTCTGTGAACATTTTAATGAATAAAGAAACATCCTCTTATTTTGATAATTTCTTGGGAGAAGGCGCAGAATTATTATTATTATTGTTGGTCGCACAGTCAGCCAGATGTTTAGACTGGATTTGGCATTTTTTTCCACCTATCAAGTCCTTCCCAAGGACTTGGGATAGGCAGATGTTGGTATTTGATGGTGTTAAAGGTATTGTCACAGGATATAAGTTGCTACTTTTTTTTAAATTATTATTATTATTATTATTATTATTATTATTATATTATTATATTATTATTATTATTATTACTACTACTATTATTGAAAATACTTATAGGAATGACTTTTCTCTGCTATCCATTTAGCAGAACAATGCTTCTGATTTTACCATTATCAATATTGCAAAGCCAATTCAGAATGAGAGTTTCATTTCTGTCCTCACTTTAAAATAACTTGATGACACTGTCACATTGATAAATCTGGTTGGTCTATAGTACTATAATATGAATCATGAGGCTCATTGGCTAAGGAATCATTTAAGGATAAATAGCTAGGGAAAAATGGCACTGACATTTTGGCAGTATGAAGAAAAAAATTCCTTTTGAAAATAGTGCAAAAATCTGCCATATTTGCCCAGGAAGATACAGGTTCTAGCCTCCATCAGCCATGGAAAGCCAGTGGGTGACTCTGAGCCAATCACTTTCACTCAGCCCAATCTACCTCACAGCATTGATGTTGTGGAGAAAAATAGGAGGGAGCACCATCTACATTGCCCTGACCTCCTAAATGAAAGATGAGATAATAACAACAACAACAAGCCACTTGACTCCCAGCAACTCTATAAACTCTATTATATATGAATTATATATATATAAAAATCCCCTCTCACCCCAGAGGCCTGGGAGTTTGAGGGTTCTGCAGTGTCTTAGCTGTTCCTAGCACTGCACTCTTCTGGACAGAGAGCTCTG